ACCACGAATATATAATAATTAAAGCTATTTTTCCCTTTATCGATTACTAGCGGAATCGAAGCCTTATAACAACTGGAGTTAACTAAAACACGGGTTGAGTATGCCACTTATATATGCACGCGGAAGTCTATACGTATATAATATGTAGACTGACAACGGTCGCGCGGGGCTTCTTAAATTGTATATATGTGTAGGCGCGTGTGGCGTGTACATTTCGTTTGAGCCGCTGTTCGTTATCCGTGTGTGATTTTCGCAAAACTCGAAAAAATAATTTCGATGAAACATCAGCATTGGTATTACATCACAAAGATGGATATCCTTTTCTCCGGGTTGTTTCGCATTTGTGTAGTAATAGGTGGAGGAAGGGATTTAATTGAAGTCCTATATAAATTTAGCTATTCCAAAAAAAAATACTATATTTATTCTAATCTATATATACGAGTATATATGATAACACTGTTCTCTAAAACGATAAAACGTATGGTCTTAAAATTTGGTTAAAATTGGTTCCTCTAACACTCTAAATATAAAATAAGAGCATTTTTTGAAAAATATATTTATAAAGTTCGAAACTGTTTTACGCTGAATTTTTGCATTTTTTTCAATTTTTGGGTACCTAGGAAATATTTTATTTTATTAAATATATAAATGGTGTATGTAAATTAATCTAGTATAAATAAATAAGAATTAATATCATAAGAATTTACGATGATTGTCGGCTTTTTCAATCAACAATTTTGAAGTCTAGGACTAGTAATTGCTTTTATCTATAAAAAAAAATATATATATATAAAATATTTCCGGAGTACGAGTGAAAGACAATTTCCTTTGGACCCGGCCGGATCGCCGCTGGAACCCCGGCTGAGTTATAGAAAAATATTATCTCTTTTTGATTTTATATTTGACAATTCACACTTGTCTGGGTCGGACCCATATCGGGTGTCCGTGTCGAATTCAGGTCAAAATATATTGTTGTAAAAAATTCGCTCTGCAGGTTCCCGGATGGGTTTGTCAAATAATGCCTGTCGGACAGTTCGTGGTAAGTATAAACGACTGAATTGTAAATAAAATAAATTAAATATTAAAAATTGTAAACTCGGACGAGAATCAGAGGATTTGTTCGCCTTTTCCGGATCGACTCGAACGGACTATTTTGTTTGGGTTTCATCGATTCCGCCAGACCTTTTTATACTTGGGTACAAGGCTTATCGATTCCGCCAGGATCGATTCCGCCAGTGCAGGTAGTCTAAAAACGACCTATCGATTCCGCCAGGGAAAAAATAATCTTCCCGAACATTTTAGTTTTATTTTAATTAGATAGCCAGAGGTATTATAAATATTATATGAAATACCTGTATTTGTAATGATGTGAAAAACGACTAATAGTATTGTCCTACGCTAATGTGGTTAGTCTCAATTTATCATCGTGTCATTATACTTCACAATAATGAATTTCGAAATCGTAGCTGGTGAACGAGAAAATGACTTAGTTATTTATCAAAATGAAAAATTTTTTAAAACAAACTTTGTGAAATATTTATGTGCGTATAAGTGGAAATGTGTTAATAAAAAGTGTAACGCAAAAATATACATTAACGAATCCTTAACGGAAATTTTAAAATATGATATTGACCACAAAAATCACGATAAACAGCCAATAAATGTATTGAAAAAAAAACTATTTTCAAACCAGCTTAAGAGAAAACTTACAGATGTAACAGAAAGTCCTTCAAAAATTATAAATCGTGAAATACTAAAAAATCCTCAAATTGAAAATATCATGGAAAATGACTATGTTGACAATATCAAACAATATATACATCGAGAACGTAGAAAACTCATACCTTCGCTTCCGAAAAATCTTATTGAAGTCATTGAAGCTATGAATAATCGTGAAATAAGAACTATTGAAGGTGAGTCATTTTTAATACATACAGATTTGGTGAACAATATGATGTGTTTTTTCTACAGACAGTAATCTAAAGGCTCTAAGCTCGTCTAATACAATATTTGTTGATGGCACATTTTCTTCGTGTCCTATGTTTTTTTATCAACTTTTTACAATCCATGTAAATATAAATGGGCATTATGTTCCATTAGTTTTTTTTTTATTACCTAACAAAACAACACATATTTATGAATTAGCATTTAGTTTTTTAAAAACTAAATGTGCTGAATTAAATTTAAATTTAAAACTGACAACAATTGTGGCTGATTTTGAAGAATCTATTCATGCTGGGGCAAAAATGATTTGGCCATTAATACAAGTAATCGGATGCAGATTCCATTTGACGCAATGTTGGTGGAGAAAAATCCAAGAAATTGGATTAACAGACGTGTATAAAAATAAAAACTGTGAGTCCGGAATCTGGTTAAGAAAAATATTCGGACTTTCTTTTTTAAGCCCAGAAGAAGTTTTTGATTGTTTTATAGAAGAGTTTATGGCACACTGCCCTAATGATCCAAAAATGTTAACATTTTGTGATTATTTAACTGAAAACTACATTGACGAGTTTTCGAGATTTCCACCCAATGTTTGGGCCTCTTTCTCCATTAGTTCTGAGCGAACCACAAATAGTTGTGAATCTTTCCACGCAAAACTAAATTCTTTGTTTACAAAATCACACCCAAACATTTTTTTATTTATACACGTCTTAAACACAAGGATCCAAATAGATACGTACATTATTCTCAGATCAACTCACAAAACAAAAATTAGTAAGAACACAAAATATATTCACCAAAAAAGAAAAATCGAAGATTTATTAAAAGATTATGAGGCTAAAAAAATTAACCGCTCACATTTCATTAGTTTGGTATCATCCCATTATAAAAAATAATATTGTAAAATCCATCATACTATAAAAATATCATTGTATAACTTAAAACTATATTTGACTAAATTAATTGTATTATTATATATATATATATATATATATATATATATTGTACTGTATTAATTATTATACTGATTATTAATTTTTAATTAATATTTTTTAGATATATTATTATTATTATTATTATAACAGAAACAGGTTGACAGCAGCAGTTGCCAGGTCGAGGTAGAAATTGGTAGGTGGCGGAATCGATAGGTTGTTTTTAGACTACCTGAACTGGCGGAGTCGATACTGGCGGAATCGATGCTACATTGGCGGAATCGATAGGTCCCCTTTTGTTTTACGGTCGCGGTCCAGATCAATGGAAATAGACCTTAATTTAGCTAGTATATTTGAATAATGAAAAATTTCATTACACCAAATAAATATGAGATCTATTTGCACCTTTGTTATGCGTATTGCATGAAAATTTAACGGTTTTGCGTCGAAATTAAATCGGAAGTGTACAGTTTTTTGAGATATCTTTTAAATATAAGTAATATTTTACTTAGATGGAAATTGTTTAAAATGGATACGTCTACTGATTTCTTTGTTCCAAACTCTTTATTAACATGCAACGTAATAAAAAAAATCCACAATGTTAGTAATAAGAATTTACCAATGACTATACATATGTGTATGTATGATAATTACATATAATAAATAATTCACTGAAGTTGTTAATAGTCGATGATATTCGTGTACATAAAAGTACGTGGCTTTCGCCTAGAATTGAAAATTATATATTATTATAATAATTAAAACTAAGTCTTTATAATACACAGCAGTAGGGTCAGTGACTGTATATAAACTTTTTTTAAAAGACTTTAAGCATTATACTTTTGAATGCTGCAATGCACATTTCAGATTTATTAATGCAATTCAAATCACCGAGACCAGATGGAAATAGGTATATGATGTCGATAAAAGTCTCAGATATATTTTTCCACGTGTTAAGTACTACTTAAATATTTCTAACTCACTTACTTATAGGTAAATTGTTAGAAAATATCCAATATGTAAACATATTTTATAATTCGAAAAAAATCTGGATACGATACATATAGAAGAATATTTTCAACTATCACTTCGTGAAGTGACAATTTTTGAAATAGTACCCATGTACATAAAAATATAAGATATTCAAAATTAATAATAATCATATTGGGTCTTTATTATAACTGCGTTCTATATTTTTATTGGCAAGATAAGTATTAATACTGATCATTTAAATTATTGCTTTAATTAATTTTTATACATTCTTAATGTAAACTGGAATCGCAAATAATATAAACGTAATGATGTATTACACAGTAATAATAGATTATCATGTGAACTTGTGTTATTGTAATCAATCACTTAAGCGATGTAGTATTATAATAATAATACTGACTGGTGATTTTTAAGTTAAAATATTGTTAATGACGTAAAAAATGTAAAATAAAACACCTACCGCAGTGCCACAAAATTTAATATCTGATTATTTGTTATCATTTGACGCGATTGCCTATGCAAAACAAACGCGCGATTATTCTCACCGACCGGTTTCCAAACAATATAAGTGAGTCATAAATTATTATTAAATACATCAATCAACATTCTTCTCCTTAACAAGCAATCATTGTATTAGAAAAAAAAACCTCCGTTAATTAAAAGACTTGGTCTATTGTATAATTGTTGTAGAGGTACAAACATTATTCGTTGTGCGAAACGGTATGTTTACCATAATATATTCGTATACGTTTAATGTGTATATAGACTTGCTCAAGCCTTTCTTATGTTCTTATCATCAAGTGTATGCATGCGATATGTGAACGATGATAGTTATAAAATATTTTGATTTGATGTGTATTCCTACAAGGCCATTTAAACTGAACAATACATAAACGCATCAAGATGTAGTATTGAAAATTGTTATATATCGAATAAACATGAACGATAACGTATGGACCGTGTATAGCTTAAACGATTTACATATCTAAGTATTAAATAATGTAAGCTATATAAAGTATAGTATAATATATAATACGTATATCATATATGCAGAGTTGACGAGGAGAGGTAATCGGGTACAGTTAAAAAGTTATGCACGTCCGTGAGGTATACACGAGAATAAGTACTTGCCTTTGTTCGGTGGTGGCTGTAGTATTTAACATGACGACGTCGTACGTCCGTATGTAGTGTGCAGTATATCGACAGCTGCTATTGAGTTCTGTGTAGTGACCACTTCGAAACGAGACTGTTTTGTCTGCTGTTTAAATCTGTAGGAAAAATAATTATATCATTATTTGTTTTAAATAGAACCTTTGAAATCGCATTCGTATAGACATAAAACAGATTTTCTATATAATTATTAATATTTTAAAAAAAAAAGAAAGTTTCGCAACTCGAAAATTAATAAATTTTCTTTGAGATTGCCAAAAAAAAATCGATACAAATCGTCACTATTATAAATCGAAAACTTGATTCTTTGAAATTGTTTAAGTTCCATTTTAAATTTCAATGTTCGAGAATTAATTGCGAAACTGTATATTAGATATTAATTATAAAAGGCTACTTGGTGTGCCTTTCAATATTTAACAGTTCCTGTCGATAGGTAGAACTCATGTACTATTTTTCTATTATAATTTGTGTATATTCGTCGGTTTTTTCAACAATTATTTGAATATTTTTTTATATTACAAACCGTTACTAATGATATTATGATTCATAAATACTTATTTTTTAAACTAATTAATATATGAAATAATTATTTACATTTTTTTTTTAATTTATAACTATTATTATCTATCTAATTTACAATATTCCAAACACACTATAAGTGTACAAAAAAATACGTGTATTTAGTTAAATAATTTATTTTATCTTTATTATTCAGCTCAATATATAATTAATATTCGTTATGTAGCATATAATTCCATTACAAATTAATTTAGTGATCTATTCAAAGATAATCTTGTTAGTATCCAATCATGTTTAAGCATTAATACGTATATATGTATGATAATAATATTTACTTGTAGTAACTGTCTACGAATTGAAAAAAGACCAAAAGATATAAAACCATTTCATAAATACTACGTTTCAACAAAATGGTTTTTTTTTATTATTCAAACAATTACTCAACCCGTAAACAAATATTGTAGCTGTAAATCGTAATACAGCCTTATCAATATTATTATTACCATGTAACAATGAGTTTCCTAGTCTCCAAGCTTTTTACCTATAGAGGGAAATAATAAAGTGAGATCCATTGTTCATACATATGTGTAACGTACCAAACCATAACTGCAAGTTTATGCCGAGCACAAAGTATATTCACAGCAACTAGTAATAATAAAACATTATTTTAGTTCGAGTTTTTTCCGATAAAATCGGTTTTGAATGTTCATTGCGAATAACAACTTATTTTAATACTTTTTGTTTGTATACTTATTCATATATTTTTTTTGTATTTCTGTGATCTCGGTTTTTTAATCACTATGATTTTTTTCGTTTTGGGGTCCGGGGAATTCCTTCATTTACTTCATACATATACTGCGGCATTTGATAGTAATAGTAATAATAATAATCGTAATATTATGTGTTTTGTTTCCGTTTGACCGTATAATATATGCATATACTCGTATTTATGAGATAAATATGTACCGCGAACGCATTGGGTGCATAACATTCTTCAACCCGGTAACTTACAGCACCCTAAATAAATTATGTTTAATAATACTACATACATAGACATAAACGTTAGAAAAAAATGTAAAAACAAAAAAAACCTAGGGTATACTGTGTAATGATGGATCACATGTCGCGTCACTGCTGCTGGGCCGCTTTACGATAATACCGCATAAATAATTATATTACATACGTGTGATCAGCCTCTAACATTATATTATTGTACAAGTGAAATTTAGTAGGGGATTACAATTCTTTCGAAAATCAGGGTTGTACAATATTTAATTCATATAGATATGCAAACACAACGAGTTCAATTAATATACTTCTTTTATTCTATTTTTAAATAAGATTAGTATATTAGGTCAATAGAGCATACCACCAGAGTATCACCACTTTTAGAGTTTTACATATTTAGTTAATTCTTTCGAATTATTAGTGTTATAGTATTAAATTTAAAAAAAATAAACCGATTACCTAATTATTATATAAATAGGTTTCTAACAATTTTTTTTCTAATCTCAGATTCGTTGATATAATTTGAATATAATGAACATCATTGTAGTGTCAATATATACATCAATATAGTTAATATTTAATACTCGTACTTTAGTTTTTTAAGTGTTTTTTATTCGATCAGATACTATAATAACACGTTTTATACTAATCGGATGAATATTGCATGAATTGACCAAAGTTAAAAAAAAAAAATAAAATACGAAGTGCAATGTTTATGCACATCGTAATTGAATAATATTGAATAGTAAAATTGAATAACGTGTTATCAAATAAATAACAACAAATTACATTTTATAGTTTTGAGAAACGAAAATATTCATAGATAAATGCGCTGTTAATGCTTAAAAATACAATGTTATTATGTATGTATATACTCGAACAGTTGTAGTTTTACTGTTTCACAAATCGAAACGAAGTGTAGTGTTTATGAAACAAGATTGACATTAAACCTTGTCGTGAATTTTACCGTGACGGATTTTCATAAACTACATGCGGTGTTCGAGAAAAAAACCGGAGAATTTCTTCGTTTTTGTCATAGTTTTTTTTATTATATTATTAATATATGTATAAAAAAAAAAAAAAAAGTGTACAAATAAACACTCTTACTAGCACTAGTGCTTATTTACCACCACCATTGTACAATGGATGTAACAATCGATAACCCGCGTAGCAGAAAAAATCAGAAAATGGAATCTGAATGAGTAAAAAAAAGATTTCTTCCCTGTTACGGCTAGATATTGAATCTAGCTCTGCACTATGTGGATGATGTCCCTCTTGCAGTGCTTTTATGCAAATAATACGTAATTACAATACATATTAATAATAAAATATGATATAACTTATAAGACTTGTTTCTTATTTATTACGGACCACGCTGTTGCTACTCGCTGTACAGCACGTACCAAGTAATTCGATATCCACCGTTTGGCACCGGTGCATACGCTCACCCAGTAACCATATTAACCAATTGGGAATATCCGAATACACCGACGCGTTTGCTCGTTCCACCGTACAGTATGTGTATATAAATCCGTAAGAGCCGTATGCACTAATTGCTACCACGGACGACCGGCTGGTGAAATATAATCCCGCGGCAACTGGGTCATAGTCGTCAAGGGACGTGGAAAAAATAAAACCGGAAAATAGAGAGAGAAATATGAACCATTATCGTCATTTATACGATGGTAATAACTTTTAATATACATTACCGGTTGTTGTTATTTTAGATTTATTAGTAAAATTGTCGTATATGGAAAAAAGTACTGGGAAACGGTGTAGGCGCGTGTGAGGTATTTCCTTTGTAATCACAATGAAAACGGAAAAATCGAAAAACCATGTATGTTTAAAAAATGTGTGTAAATGGTGTATATATATGTATATGTATGTGGTGTGTGTGTGTGTGTGTTTGTGTGTGTAGAAATAGAAAGAGAGAGAGAGAGAGTGAGACTGAGAGAAAGAGAGGGTGAGAGAGAAAGAGAGACGGACAGACAGATAGAGAAAGAGAGAAAATATATTGATCCCAACGTTGGCGGCGGCAGCCATTTTGTTACCACACACAAGCATGCATTCCAAAACACACATCAACGACGACGACGTCGACGATGTAAAGAGGTTTTCCGGTAGTGAGCGGGAAAACTGCTCGAAACGATCCCCCATTCGCGGGCGTGCTACACCATACTATATAATAATGTACACACGCATAATATATGCATACAGGGCGTTCGAAAAGTTTGCAAACTAATATCGCGTATTTCCGGGTCCGGACCGTCTTCAAACTTCTTTGACGCTCTGTATGTATATAGCTCGTACTTTAAATTGCAGCCGCAGCAGGAGGTTATCTTATATAAACGTGGAGGTACTTCGCAACGACTCCGGAATCAGGTTCGGTTTAGGTTTTCCGCCCAGTGAAAACACTTTCGTCGCACGAGTTTCTCCGACCGCGCACGATTTTTGGGAAGTTACGGATTTCGATGCTCGCACGGTTGCTGTCCGTTGGTACGCGAAGAAACACAAGTATCTGCGTAAATACGTTCACCGCATACGTTGCCGGCTGTGGGTATAACGTTAATTGTACAGGTCGCTCGCAGATTCATACGGATATAGTTGTAACGGGGCATGCTTCGTCCTTTAAGGATACATCGTTTTATATACGTGCAGTGTACCGAGAAGGAAGAACGGGTGAAACAAAATACTTATCAACTCGTTTTCCTCGTAACCGATATTAAGTGACATTTGATCCTCATCCAGTAACAGCGGTTCGACTTTAAACGTTAAACCGTAAGTCCATAACAGTACACAATACCAATACGCGCCGCTAGAAGTGTATTGAAATTCTCGGTAACACGTGGATACATAATAGCAATACGTTATCCATATCTAGAAGCTACATTATGAGTACGAGTTTTACTATTATGTTTATGTATATTATACGTATGGTATAGCTCGTTCGTTTCTTTTGCGTTCTCTGTTCATTAGATTTAAATTTAATACTGTGCAGCAGCGTACACACTCATTAAAAATTTGTAATTAGCGATTTTAAATTTGCTAATCTATCGAATAGAAAAAAAAAATAAAAGTACTCCAACTGGAATTAATAGTAATAAACGAGAGGAAACCCAAATATATGAATCGAAAGTAATGAGATGTGTTCCGGCAAGTATCTACCAAAATCCGATGGTTTTAATTTTAACTTAATAATACATTGCAGCTCCTATTTATAAATCTCCCGTTCAAGTCAATGTAGTAGTATATTTCATAATTAATTATTACCTTTTAAAATTAGGGTTTTTCAACATCGAATAATGTAATTTAATAGAATATCGTACACAGGGGTGTGAATACATTTATCGTTAAAAAGATTAACCTATCTTATAAATGTGCTTACATTTTATTTACATCGTAACCTTGCGGTTTTAGTTTTCAAGTAAAATTAGGAAATGTGTTGGTATTTTAATAAAATGTATTGGTTGAATGATATTTACATACCCGTTATTATTCTTTATTGTAATCAAACTTTAGGCTAGAAAATCTGTACCAAAAGTTTCTCCAAACACCTTATTAAATCGGAAAT